TTTTTTAATCCAATGCTCTGGCCATCCTAGGTCCACATTCCCAAAGGCCCATGAGGAAGTGGGGCTGACTAATGTTGCTCCACAGCAACACTACATTCCCAAGTCTTCAGTGCTGCCTACTGGGACACCAGGGCCCCTTCACAAACCTGCATCACCAGCCAGTTCCCATAGAGGTGAACTGGGCAATCCTTGATGTAAGCCCTTAATGGTTTGGCTGCCTTCTGGAATCGAGAAAAATAATGAATATCTTTTCCCTTATGGTAAAACAAAGGCTTTTAATAAAGTATCTCTTGGTACTCACATGGATGCTCATTTGCAGCCACGACCTTCCCTGGCAGGCTGCAACTGCTCTCTCCACGTAGAAGAAACAGTGAATGATCTTCAGAGTCCTGGGGACTTTGGAGGTTGGTTTGGGACTTCTGCAACACAGGGGAGGACACAGGTCTCAACTACAAGGGACAGTGGAGAATTCTGCCAACACGGCTGACGGGTCTCAGTGGATGAGGGTGATTGTGGCTGCACTGACCCAGCAGAACTCTAGCTGTCAGCAGTCTTGATCTGGTGTTTGGGAGGGGGAGGGGGGAGGGAGGAAGGAGGGATTTAGTCAGAATGATTATCAAGTGGCAGTTGATTGCGGTTAAACTGACCTACCAGGATTCTTGCTAGAACTAGGCTGTTGGAGATATGCCCAAAGACGGGGTACCTAGTTGGAGGAGCCTAGTTAGTGTTTGGCCAGGAAGGAGTCTCTGTCACACACCTCCCTCTGAAGGACCATAGCAGCAAACCCAATCCTCCTCACACAGTTCTGGGGGCTGAGATGGGAAGGGGAGAAGAGAAGAAGGGAAGGAATGGGGAGGGACAGGGTAAGGAGAGCATTCTGAAAAGCACTCTGAAAAGCACCCTGATCCCAGAGCAGCAGGGTAGGAACACAAAAGGTGGTGCTGAGTGAGCAGAGAGAGACTTTCCTCTAATGGCGAGGGACGACAACAGGAAGCTGGAGGCCTCCCGAGGGCCAGCCCAGGTTCGTGGTTACATCTCACACTATACACCAGCTACAGAGTCCCAGAGATACCATGCTACGTAGCTTTGTGATTTTACTACAGTACAAAAAACTACAAGAATGCCTAAAATGAAAAGGCTAGCGGGTAACTTCGGAAAACACATCCCACTCCCTTCGTCAGAATGGTACAGTCCGGGAAGACGCTGGTGAGGGATTTGTCTATCTTTCGGAGAAGACTCAAGCAGAAGCAGGCTCCCACATCACCAGAGGCACACGGAGCCAACATCTTTCCCCAGGGAGAATGGATAGGAACAAAATCAGCTTCGTTTCTCTCGGTAACCATCATGGACTCCACAGTCAGTTAGCACAGCAAAATCCCTCCTCACCCGCTATGCAGCACTCAGAGCTAGCTCTCTGGGGCTGTCGGGGCTCAGAACACAGGAGGGACTGGATGGGCAGCCGGCTGAACGAGAAGTGATTGACAGTAACGCAAGGCAGCAGGCATCAAGCATGTTCTCTGTGAAATGCTCCATGTGAATCACTTTGTAAATACTGACCTGTACAAGCTTCACCCGGTGGAGCAGGGGCTGGGGTTTGAGCATGTCCTTCACTCCGTGAGGCAACCAGTAGCACTAGGATTTGAACTTGTCTCTGTGAATGCCAGAAAACAAGGAAAGAATAACAGAGAAAGAGAATCAGAAGCCAGAGACAGAAGGGGAAAAACCCCAAGTGACTGTGGGAACCACTAAGGACATTCCAGGCAGAAGTGGTGCTGAGCTCTGTCTACAGGACAGGAGGACTGAGCCTCAGAGGGGCTGGGAAGATGACAGCAGAGGTGACGTCTTACTGAAGCCTGATGGCCCAAGTTAAACAGTATCATGATGAGAAATACAGGTCAATGAAGAAAGAGGAGGATGGACACCTCCACCAGGAAGCCAGGCTGTGCAATAGGAGCCAACTGAAACAAACGCTTTGATGTGGAATTTTACTGTAGGCCCAAATAGAGAGAGGAAAGCCACCAGGAGCCCAGACTGAGAGTAGGCTTCCCACGAGATGTAGATGTAGCAGACATCGCCTGGCATGGACCATGCTTCCCAAATCTGCCTCTTCTCTAGAGCCCCTCCCTGCAGCATCATTAGAACAAAGGCCGCACTGTTGGTGCTCTTGATGTCCCCTTACTGCCGCCAACATGCTGAAGCACATTTGCAAGTATAATCTGGCCAGCCATGTGCAGCAGCCCTCTAAAGGGACAAAGCATGTCCTGTGACCATCACTGTGGGCTTCCTGGGTCCCCATGAACTGCAGTCACCACACTGCATTGCTCTCGAGGCTTCCAGATGCTGCCCACAATATGATATATAACACGGTCAGTGAGCAGAGTGACTCCCCAGGGAGGCAGCTTTCAGTCCCACTCCCAGCCCTCAGATCTTTGACCTCCATCCCGTTAGTTTGCCGTTCTGACAAAGCATGTACAAAGATCAACTACTATAGAATGGACAACTGAGCTTCTGGAAAGCTCTGTCTCCCTTACAGGGCCCCAGCAAGAGGTAGGCTCTCCTCTCTCCAGCTGCTAACTTCTAAAATCACAACTTTAGTCAGCAGCATGATAAGACCTTGGTACCCAAACAGGTCAGAAAGAAGAGAATGAAGGAACAATGGAGAGGAGAAATGAAGGAACCATAGAGAGGAGAAATGAAGGGATGATAGAGAGGAGAAATGAAGGAACAATGGAGAGAAGAAATAAAGGAATGATCCTTTTATTTCCTCCGATGACACATCATTTTTACCAAGAGAACAGTGGTCGGATTTCTCTGAGATAACCCTGAAGTACAAGAAAGGCCAGGAACCACATTCAAAATAATGATAGATTATTAGAGAACACCCCCATCCTTCACCCCACCGCTTACTCCAGCCTGAGCACTGTCATCTGCTCCAGGAAGTCCACAGGGCGGGGAAGATAGAGACAATGAAAGAAGTAAAGACTTGAATGGTAAACTGAGGCCTGGTTAATATCAGACTCTTAGAGTATGACCCCCAGATCATCCTTGCTCCTTTAAAGAAAACCGCTGTCTGGTGTTTCAAAAAATGGAAATGAATAGAAAATGCACATTCAAACATAGTTTACACTGAACTAAAGTGACTGAGCATTTAAGAAGGAAAACAATAAAAACCCTGTTCTGGGTTTTTTTCTCCTAAGCATTGGGAGGGAGATGCTGGCGCTGGATGGAGCTAGAGAAAATGTGAAATACAAAGGAGGGAGGGGGGCATTTAATGCCCTGTCTGTGAGAAATAGAGCAGAGGAAAGAACAGGAAAAAAGAGAGAACTAGAGGAAGAAAGAAAGAGGGAGGGAGGGAAGGAGGGAGGGAGGGAGGGAGGAAAGGAGAGAGAGACAGAGAGAGAGAGAGAGGAAGGAAGGATAGAAAAGAAACAGGGAGGGGAGTGGGGAGTTTTGGGCTCTGACCCAGGTCACTATTAACTGGTCTGGTTCCCCCCTGTCTCTCAGAGCCACCATTTTCCCATTTGCAAAGCCCCCTTCCTCTTGAAAAGTGACCTCAGGAAGGTCAGCGAGGTACTAAGGTGGCACACTGGCCAGGTCTCCAGGGTTCTGGCTACTTTTTAGATGTTAATTCTATGGTCTACGGAAAGCTTTGAAAAGATGCTCTTAAGTAATGAAAGAAACCAAAGGGGTTTAAAGTCCTGGCAAGCTGATACCGCTCAGTCCCAGAAAGGGACAAAAGCACGCTGCAGAACGGGTTTGGCCTGGAATTGAAACCACTCCGGGAAGAAAATGTTTGCAATAGAGGCAGGTGTCACTTCCAGAGGGAACTTAGCAAGGGGCCAGTTTCCCAGTATAGTTTATTTAATTCAAGAGGTTTTGCTCAGACCCGTGTGTCATTATCACATCTCGATATCCCAGACACCAGAAAGAACTGCCAGAAGAGAAGGCAACATTTAAATATTTAAGAATCGAGGTCAAGCAGTGGAAGTTTTCTATGATTGCATTAAATACATTAAGTTACACTATCGAACTGTTTTTAACCAAGCTCGTCCGCAATCGAGTCGTATCATGGAATTTTCTTTCCATCTGTGAGACTGAAGAGTTTCCAAACAAGTATCTGCTAGTCAAGGGTTAAGGAGAATAGGAGCCCCAGCAGGATCTGTTTACTCAGAGGATGTCTGAGATTGAAGGACACACCAAGAAGGAATCCTTTTAGGGGCTCAGCCCAGGCTCAAATACACCAGCTATGAGAGGAGATATTGGCAGCCCCAGCCACCCAGCCACCCCAACTACCCCAGCCAAGCCACCACAGCCACCCAGCCACCCCAGTCAAGCCCCTCAAAGGCAGGAAGGGTTCAAATGACTTCTCCCTCTCCCTTCCTCTCTCTCTACTGCACCCCTTTAATATAGATAGATCTTCATGTTGTGGTGACCCCCATCATAAAATTATATGTTGCTACATCATAACTGTAATTTTGCTATAGCTATGAACCATAATATAGTTATCTGATATTTGACCCCCAAAGGGGTGGTGACCCACTGTTTGAGAATCACTGAGGCACAATACTTAGGAGAACACAAGGCAGGAGCCAGAAATCCCTTCCGGAGTTCCTGCCTCCAGCAATCATGTTCCTAGAACTTCTGCTTGGAGGTGGGGAGTCCCTTGCCCTGCCTGACCAGTTTCTACTTCCTATCTCATCATTATCCCAGCTTAAGAAAAAAAACCTAAAATCATCTAGGAATCAGGCCAGAGACCAGAGTCCCCTAACACTGACTCTTCTGACCCTCAGCCAGAAAGGTTCAAGAACATTTTTAGTATATAACCAAGTATATGAATCAAGGCCCTTACCCCTGAACTGGTTGTTCCATCTCAATCTTCTGTCCTTATTCCTGTTTTTGAAGAAGTCACCGTAACTGCCATTAGAGAGTTAGGACAATGCTCTTTTTGGCTTCTTCAAGCTGACAGTTAAGTGTCCCAGTCTATGTTTGCCACCCTGGCTCTGGCTCATTGGTCTCCACTGGCCCTCATCACCCTTCTGTACCAACAGACACGTATCCACCTTCCCAATGACCAACAGTTCATCTGCTTCCTGTTTCCCACTGAGTTAAGGTGCACAAATTATCTAGATTTAAGCCACTTCAGTTGCTTTTAGTTACTTGCTTTGCTTCAGTTTGCTTTTGGTTGTCTTTAGAATTTACCATCTCTAGAGGTCACATAGTAAAGCCAGATATCTTAGACCGCTGTAAGTGTTGCTATATGTAAATCCCCTGACATGTAAATCCTGATCATGTCTCCTGGACCGTCTCTCTGCCAACCTCCACCCAGGTCTGTGCAAGTGGGACACATGTGACTTGCATGTCAAAGGGCCAAAACTTCCATCTTCCAAGTAAGGAGGTGCGGGAGGTCCTAGGAGGAGTTGGGGGAGGGGAAAAACATGATGAAAAATACTGTATGAAAAAAATGTTAATAAAAGAATTCCACCTACTAATCTTGCTAGTGCCACCATTTTCTGAGCATGTGCCCTGTGATGAGACATGGCGTTTGACCGTGCGTGTGATGAGCACCCATCACTTCACCTTTCCTTACCGCCAACCACCTTGCCCCATGCGTCAAGCTCCCCTGTGTCTTTAGCTCCTAAGTAGCCCTAACCCGTCCTTGGAGAAGTGCATTTGAGACTTGCTGTCCTGTCTCCTCAGGCTTGACTCATTCATAAAATAAGCCGGGTTTGGTGCTGGAGTCATGGCTCAGCCTCGGTGTTGGTGTTCTGTCATAGCAGCCCAGATCGGCTAAGACCCTGCTGTAGAACCTGAGAACTTGCCATTCACAGACACAGCCCTCTGGCAGGCTGATTAACTCCATCAAGAAGGATTTGACGATAAAGAAATAGACTCACGCATACTTAATACACAGACCTCTATGCTGTGGTTGCTTCCAACACTTCCAATGCTAAAATATCAGCCACTCCAGGAGGTTAAAACTATGGAGTCTAAGAGCCTGCCCAGCCCACAGATTTGCAAATTGAGGTGTGGTTAGCAGTGACCTCTGTTATGCAAAGAAGGGAAGCTACTCAAGAGAAGACAGCTCTGGTGGGCACTAGACACTTGTCTACTACAGGACTTTTCCAGTGAAAACTCAAAGGAACAGCAAGAGTCTATAAGTCCCAATCAATGTCCCTCCTGCCCTGCTTAGAGGTGGAAAGCCCCAGTTTTCAAAGGTTGAGAAAGAATACCCTCCAATGCTTCATTTTTTTTTTTTTTTGCTTTTGCCCCTTAACTTTCTTCTTTTTATATTTTAACTATACTTTCAGTGGTAATTTTACTTTATTATAGTTTTTTAAACTTCTATTTCTTATTCCCCCTCATACATTTACCTAATTTGGTTTATAACTTTTTTCAGTGTCTGTTATACAATCTCTTTTTCTTCTAATATCATAAACAAACACTGATGGTCGCAGAAAGTCATCGAGGTCCTGATACAATAATAGTGAAGACTGTTGGCCAGGTGGTGGTGATGTACACCTTTAATCACAGCACCAAGGAAGCAGAGGCAGATCTCTGTGAGTTTGAAGCCAGTCTAGTCTACAGAGCAAGGTCCAGGACAGGCTCCAGAAAAAGCGACACAGAGAAACCCTGACTCGAAACGCCCCCCAA